TTTCCGTCAACACTATGTCAAACTTGAATCCAAATTTCACGTAATTCGAGTAGGAAGCGAGGTTGACAGAAACTTGGGGATGGTGTCTAGTTGGTGAATCCAAAGAGGAGTGAAACCGGTGGTGGGCTGTTGGAGAATTTTCATCAATCTTATAAATAGTATGCTGCGTCTAGACAGCGTATTGGAATCTCTCGAATATCAGCTCTGCCTAGTGCGATTTTCACAGTGGAATCAGCTAGAAAACACCATTATCTCTTAGCCGTAAATCTGGAACCCACTGCACGGTTCAGTTGTCCACCCAGTAAAATCCAACGGTTTTATCGTTTGTCACAAATCAGCAGTAATTCAACCGACATTGACGTTGAAGCCACATTTTGGTGCTAGAAAGCAAGAATCTTCGGTTTTCTTTACTATCCCAGCTTGGTCAGTGGAGGGTGATTTGCGATAGTCGTTTTGAGGACGAATGGCTTGCGGTTTTCCAACTATATTTTATCTCACTTTTTTCAGATCACATTTTGTTACTAATTCCCAGAATTTTCTTTTCAGATTACAATTATTTTTTGAACCGTTTTCGAGTGTTACTCAACCCCGCATAATTAACTATCATATCAACTGCTTGAGGTGGAAACGGCTAAGCACCTGGATTCGTTCAAGGTGACCTACTGGCTTTTGAACCAGGGCAAGCATCATTAAAAATTTAGGGATGTTACATCTATCCTTCGTCAGTTTCATTACACGTTCGTAAAATAGAGGCAGTTGCAGTGCATTCGGCTCCCTTTTGATAAAAAAATGACAGCTCGATGGATATGTTAGTGTAAGAGATAAGGACACATTCATCTACACGGACAGCCTCTACACAGTGGCCATTCATTGTTATTCTCTTCGTGATGTGTACTCAAGCTTGCACGCCTAAAATACTACTAGATGAAGGCAGTAACAGTCGTTATTTTGTTGATTCTCTCTCGCCCATATGTCACAACACGGTTATTACGTCTCGCTTCTAAGGACAGAGTTTCTGTGATCCTTTGTGTGTTTTGATGGAGACCTTACAGGATCTGGCCACTAAATTGTCTGCTGCAGTTTTTGTCCATTTTAATCCAGATTTTTTCAGTGAATTCTCAGAGTTAAGCACCTCAGACGAAATGTTTTGGCCCTCCAGGTATGGTAGTGCGGTGTTATTGTGCTCTTGCCCATTAGATGATAATTATGAGGAAGACAGTGATGGTACTACTGATATCATCTCACCCCTATTGTTCCGTCAGCACTCTTCAGTATTCAGCCCAAAAAATAACAGATATTTGCGAAGTGAAACACGAATTCGGATGTATCATCGTCACAGTTACTTTATGTGGGGCATTTATGTGATCTGATAAAGTAACAGGGATATGGGACAGGATTTAAAGGGAAGTTCAGAAAGTACTGATGAAGTAAAAAAAGGTTGACAAGAACGAGTACGTGCTTCACAAATATTATGTAGGTTTAAGTGGGTGAATGCCTACTCCTCTTGCGCCTTGAATTGCTGATATCTCCTCACATGAGTAGTCCTCCCAAGGTCACGATCCAGAGCGCCCACAGTTACTTTATGTGGGGCATTTATGTGATCTGATAAAGTAACAGGGATATGGGACAGGATTTAAAGGGAAGTTCAGAAAGTACTGATGAAGTAAAAAAAGGTTGACAAGAACGAGTACGTGCTTCACAAATATTATGTAGGTTTAAGTGGGTGAATGCCTACTCCTCTTGCGCCTTGAATTGCTGATATCTCCTCACATGAGTAGTCCTCCCAAGGTCACGATCCAGAGCGCCCGCAAACTGTCATCAGAATTTCGGTATTATGTGCTACAACCCGAACGAATAGTAAACGTCAAGGTCAGTTCAAAAAAACAGCGGCTGCACCACTCATTCATGGACTTTTAGGAAATACCGAATTATTGGACTTGAGGCACGCAATTCGGTGTCGACCGGCCACACTCAGTAGACCCTGTGATTTATGGATACCTTGCAATGGTTAAACGGAGCGAAACACGAAGCCTTCCGCTCTCCGTGGATTGAAACAAGACAGTCTCGCTAGACCTGCTTTAAGCAGTTCGACGTTTTGAAATGCCGATTCGATTTTCAAAATACTTATGTCGTCCAGGTAGTCGCCAATCCCCCTTATATGCAACCACCGTCTGATTACATCTCGTGTGGCTGTTACAGCCTTCCGGTGTCTAGCTGCCACACCACTCGAAGGAAGCACGAGGGCTGGGATACTGCCAGGCTGCCATGAGATGGGAAGTCAAGGTTGGGTTCGAACCACGGACCTTCCGGTCAGTAAGTTCGCGGTCTAACCTCTGAGCCATTTCGCCTCCTGATTACATCTCGGCGCGGTATGACGGGTATGCAATGTAATTTCACAAAAGAGACATCTAAGCCATTGTTGCCAGACTTGTCATTATGGAAAAACAGTACTTCGATTAATTTAAACGACGACAGTATTATGAGGAAGATAATCTTCCGGCAAATCTGTGCCTATTTTAGGCCTACCATAATGAAGAAGATTGAATTCCGTGTAGTTTTTTGTACGAGTCATATTCGTTGGTCCGTTAGATGTTCTCAACAAAAAGGAATTACTGCAATTATAGGTTAAACGATAAACAAGACGGGTAGAAGCGTTAGCTGCACTGCGTGGCGTACTTTTCAAATTGATCTCACTAGTTGTCAATGAGTTCGTGCAACGTAAAACGTTTAAGTGATCGCAGCACGCAGTTACTTTTCAATAGCTATGGTTAAAAGACCTTTTGAGCGGAATATATGAAAAAGCCTTCTTTCCTCATTGTATCCGTGGCCTTCGAGTATCTACTAGGCCCCGCGGTACCTAATCTCAAATCCCATTAATGGTGCCATTGAATGTACCTCGTAAGCTACACCCATGTTAATGAACAATGCAACATTGACGTGTGCGCCAGTAGGTATCCCGGGTAAAAGATGGTGGTATCATCGATCAGTGGAAGCTTGGTCTGTTTCACTCGATTTACTGAATATGCGCACTGCTCGCTCGTTTTTGGTGCCCCTTGAGTCAGTCACACTGCCTCAAATGAAATATTATGTTAAGAGTAAAAGCCAACCCGCTTCTCAGTATCTCAGAATGCTTACGGAACACGAATGGCCAATAGTGTTACTTTAGGGGAGCTTATGGAAATTGCTAACCGTTCCAGGATTGCTTAATTGTACATGACGGATGCGAGGGACGTTTCCATTTGGATCGATATCACTGCGATACAATTCAGCAGACAAAACTATGTTCTGGTCACCGGGTTCCCAGCTTGAATGTGTGAAAAACAAAAGAAATCTCCCATCTTGTATTACAAACTATCACCATCTGCGGAGAGGGAATGGAGTGCGTCTAAAAAGAGCTCCTAAATTAGCACGCGTTCCACAGGACTGCATCATTTCAGAAAGCTAGCAATAAGGGTTGGTTTCGGATAAGGGTTGCATATCCACAGATTCGACGTTCCGTATGACGGCGAATTCGACCCTTAGCGGTTTGCTCGAACTGCGCTGCAGATGAACCTCAATCGATCAAAACTTTTCAGAGAGGGCCTCCGTTTTCTAGGAGGATGGCTACTCACTGAGATGCCATGCCCAAAGAAATGAAACCATGATTTTTTCAGAAGTGTCGGTTTCTCAGATAGATTTTGAGACCTTGTGGCTCGGGTACAGCCGTTCTTAAAGCGGTATTGAGTATTTATATGATACTCAAGTGGAAGAAACCCAGCTCCCAGTTTTCACTAGATATCAGGAGGATTAACAAGCCACTTTTTGCGCAGTACAGAGATATGTATTTCGACTGCACAACAGACGCAACTCCTAATTTCAGCAAGGGATAATTGCATAAGACAGTAATTTTCAAACGGTCCATTAACAGCCAGTCTGATTTTCCAAACTGTAGACAGATATCGCCCAGCAGTGGCGACCCACGGATGAAACCATGAGGCCCACAAAGCTCATGGCCACAGAACCTGATCCGTTGCACTCGAAGTAGGCTAAAATAGACTAAATCTCCGGAGAACTGGGCACAAGAAAGCTGCATTTATGAAGTACATACAACAGTGTTGTGGAAAAATATGCAGAATCAAGCGCAACAAGGTGGGCAGTCACGTTGAACATCCAAAAGAGGGACAAAGACGGAGGAAGTATTCGAACTATCCTGTGCGAAGTGCTGTATTTGTAGGTGGAAGCAGCTGTTCGGTTATTTAGCAAGCGCATTGATGAAACATACGTACTGAAAAGTTTAGCAGTCCACTCAGTTTTATGGCCTACTTAGGTAAAACGATGTAGTCAAAACTGAAGAATATGCGTGATCGTTGCGGGATAGGACCAGTTCCAAGGTCCAGCACGGATCACAACTCGCCTTAACGCGTTTTCCCACCTTGGGTACCATTCTACTCACCTTTAAATGTTTCACTTCGGCGACTGACGACAGTGGATACTTTATTACTATTAAAATAGTAAATTACAGGGGAAGTGGACCCTGATTGTGTCAGAAATTCAGCAGCAATCTCCCCCTATGCTCCTTGATTGAATCACGAGGACTCAATACTTCAAACTGTCAGTCAGTGATGACCCTCTACTGAAATGAGGAATTAATGTCATCATGGTGGTTCACCAATAGCACGTGCACGATAATAATCGAGCACAAGGTCTTTTATACCCTCATGCTTAACGACGTCCAAATGAACGCGTTCAGTCACTGTGTGGGAACTCCCACAAAATCTGATGAAATTCGGCTTCAAACAGTCTAGCTTAAATGCCAAATAGCCCAAGCTCGGTGGACATGCCAAAAGGCGTATCCATATAACCTGGACTATCCATACAGCCCATGCTTCCTGTCATGAACGCTTCGTGCGATCCCTCGCGATTGGGGATTATCAGGGAAGTCACGTCTGGCTGACAAGGTACTTTGGAGAAACCAAGAAGGGTGAAACTGGTTAAAGAAGTTTAACGTTTCTGGAAGCTGACGAAGGCATTTACACAGTTGATATGAAAAGTAAAGGAAATGTTTGCGCAGAAACAAAAAAAGTTACAATAAATTGTTACACTTTACAAATACTCAATTCTCATCCATCTGAATGTTCAACAAGGTAGCAAGCATTGAGCCAGAGGTTGTTGACGGTTTAACTCCATCAATTTGTGAGGCGGGCACTAAAAAAACACAAAAGAGAAGCGCCATATGAAAAATTGAGGGATACGGATTCAAGGGGTTTTGACAATTACGACTAATTAATGCTCCAGTTCAGCTTTCCAACCTAAGAATTCATTTCTGTCACGATTCCGTAAAGGATATCATCACTGATCAACATATTGTTAGTTAACCATGACCCTAATATGATGAGTGGAATCAGTTGGCAATAGATTTTTTGTTTCCTTTGTTTTTATCACTAATAGTCAACTACGCACAATAAAGGAAGATCCTTCTACAAGCAGACAAACACATTCACATTCTCCAAAAAGGGACGTACAGCAAAACCAATTTTGGTACTGACCCATAGGAAGACGACTTGAGAACATCGGGGCTCATTAAGGGGGAGATGTGCCCGTGTGGATAAAAAAATGAACAATCGGGACGTATACACCGTGTGGATAAAAAAATGAACAATCGGGAACGTATACACTAACCTTGAAGCTGGACTGCGGGTCGGAGATAAAACTGTTCACGAGACAAGGTTGTCAACTTCCCATCGTCCATTCGAACCTATCATTGACGTCCGAAGAATTATAAAGGTAAACTGGATGCACGGCACGTAAAACATACAACAGACGGGAATAAAACGATCCATTTGCGATCCGCTTGCGACCTAATTCAGTTTTAACAGAAGACTCGACTGAATCCAGCTGGTTTGTGATACTGTGTTTCGCAAAGGCCATCTCATGTCTCAGCTGGTATGATATTCGAGATATCGCAGCGTATTTTTCGACGGAACATACTATTCATCAGTTTGCTGAATACTTTACCCTTTTTGATGCTTATCAGGTAATTGCACTTCCCGGCAAGAAAATACACTACGATACCTTGAATATCGTACCTGAGGAAAAATGAAACAATTCTTGTTGAACAGCATCCACTTGAAGAATACCACAAACCGGAGAGGTTCTGTTGGATTCACCTAGTCTCCCGCTAAGAGCAAATTAGTTTGTAGATGAGCGTACCCCGCGAATTGCGTACAGTTTAGGTTCGAGTAGAGCATAAAGATTAGACGGAAACTCGGGAAATAGGCCTATATAATTGGTAAAACTGGTCGTGAGCAGGAGATTTAGGAAACTGCGATATCTCGAATATCGCATTAACTCAAACATGAGGCAGCCAATGTGCAGCGCATTGAGAAGAATACCATAAACGAGAGGTCCATTTAAATTCAAATAGGTGCATAAATGCGTATATTTCGTGAAGAGCCGTCACGAAGAGACTGGACCTTACCATATTGAGGCAGTTTTTGTACCTCGGCGACCCACTGAGGTCCGCGTGACACTCAGATTCTCTCATACAAGGCTGATCAATGGGTAGAGGTCTGACGAACACAGTCTCCTGGTCCTCCACGTTCGGCGTTGGAACATGTGTGGTCCCGCGTTCCGTAAAAATGATAATGTACTTGCATTTCCATCCCAACATCGTTGCCTTGCGGTTAAGGTTTTGGTTGAGGGCACCCTGGCAGTATCCCAGCCCTCGTACAACCATGACATTCACAACTAACAATACTGCCATGCAACATCGGACGTCACGTGGTAGCATCAGCCTGGTCACCTTACTTGCTGCATAAAGCAGGGCGGGTAAGCGAAAACATGCTACTGCTGACGCCTCCTTACACTTTCACGTTTTCCGTCTTCCACCCTCCCTTATGGTTGTACAGCAGTGAAGCATCAGTGTCAACACTGATGTTGCTGTCTTTGATGATGATGATGATTCGCGAAGAGAAAATATTGTTGGTTTCTTCAGATGAATGTTCTAAGCTGTTTACGCGGAGTTAACGTGATGCCGTTTGCATACTGTACGGGAGTAAGTAAGTAAGTACTGGAGTACTGGGAGTAAGCTTACTCCTTCATAAGGAGTTCCATCGCGAAGTAGAACAAGGACAGGAGTGAAAAGTCGGGAGGAATGTTTTGTGCTGAAATTAGCATAACATTGTTGCAGACTCCTAGACGCCCAACTGCTGAATGCTGTTGGCCGTTTAGCCACCTCGTGGGCATGACACCTCAATTCATGCATGTCGCATACTTCCTGTAAGCTTCCAAGTTTTTATGAGATACACTCCGATACGTGATGTTAAGGACGCGCCTATTCTACGGTACTTTCGAGTAGACCTAGCTACAAAACATGCTCTGAAAGTAAGCGAAATAGGCACTTAATAGTGAGAATAGTGAATGTACTAACCTCCCATTGTTCTGAAGTTGTGCCTTGAAAGGTGCCAGAATATTCAACATTGTCATCCCACAGCACCTTAACAGTGGTTCCCTTTGAAGGAAATCCATTGGTTCGCCAGTCAATATCCTAGTGAAATAGATAACAGACTCATGGAGGACAAATGGACAAGATAATTCAATAGACAAAAATTATAGCAGAAGATTGTAGATGCTTGAATTGTGCTTGATCGGATGGACCAACACCAAACAATGCGTCGAGCGGGAGCACAAATTGTCCTAATCTTGTCAAGAAACCGATGACGACTCCAGATTTTCTACTTTCTTCAATTCTTGGATTAATAATGTAAGGCTGGTTTCCGTCATCCGCTATCGTGTTACTGTGAGATGTATTAGGAAACTGATTTCCCAAACATTTAACTCTAGAACGATGGATAGTACACGCTGCAGTAGGCTAGTGAAGCTTCAGTATTAACACTGATGTTGCTGTCTCTGTGGGTGATATTATATATATATATATATATATATATATATATATATATATAAAGGAAACCAGGTCAAGTATTCAATCAACCCAAGTGTCTCCTTTTCAGTTATCCGTGGCGAGTGATATCCTAGCAGCCATCCGAAGCTGTCCTCATGTATCCCTGAAGGTCAACATTGCGGAAGTGTGTGACGAACAACATTCACCCATGCGATCCACAAGCGTGTGTCATCTCCAAGGGGTGTGCGTAAAAATGCAGAAACTGAACAAATGTGCAAAACTTGTAAGACGAGAACGTTACCAAGCAATATAGTTCAATCAAAGAATATTTGCAGCAGAGTTACCAAGGGAATTTCCTGCAATTGTAAACAAGTACACCTGAGCTGTTGCTTTGGCCTCCGATTATACAGAATAGTGCGTGAATAGTGGTGTAAAAACTCCGAAATAGAGACGTCCAGAGTGTGCTTAGAAGTTGGTGAGAATAGAACTGAAAGCTTAGGCTGAGAGAGATATTCAGAGAAAATCACGGTGCTTTGTGAAGAGTACTTGAGGCCCTGAATTAGGTGGAATAAAAGATCAACGGACAGCGGGAGTCTACAACTAGCGATGAAAATTATTCCAGCAGTAAATGATAAATATTACAGTAGGAAACCATTTTCCCGATTTATTTGCAACCTTATATGCTCCCACTCGCTGATCGAAGTAAATGAATTTCAGAGATAAGTAAATGTGAATGACACTCGCGGATGGAGACGCTGTCGACCATATTCACGGTCAGCGAAAACACCTTATTGATGGGGGCAAAATACTAACCAAAGAGTGAAATGCGAAAGTGATAACGACGATGCCCCATGGGGATTTCTGGTCGTCTATACAAAACTGACGTCCCAAATCAGGAAGTCGGGAGTTCCACCTAGGTGACACCGTAAACTGCATATGAACCGGCATACTAGATTGAGGGCTAACTCGACTGTTGACCAGACAAACACACATAAGATAACTTCTTTGGGATCCCTCATCCTCCTTCTACGATGGAGACATATTGACAAAATCCTCACGCACGTTTGGTGATGTGAAATAGGCTGGACAACAACAACTGCGACTTTTTTACGTCAAAATCACCATGAAGCACTGAAAAACGCTAGTTACAGATTAATGAGATAGGGCTGGACAGAATCTATTTCGTAATAATAAAAACCCAAGGTGATATGCTCACCGAAGATTTCATCATCATCACGGACAGCATGACAGTGCTCAACAGCGATGCTTCGCGGCCGTACACCCATGATTTATTTGAAAACCCTATTGTGAAGGAACAGACTTCGTGCTACATTACTACAATCATTCCGAAGTGATGACATCTCCAGACATTCATTCAGGCGACACCGAAGATTTACCACTGAGAGATAGATGACTGGAGGTGGAAAACAGGCCTCAGAACTTACGACCAGATATTCGGGAGGAGTATCGGTAGAGAATGTTCCGTCGGGGAAGGCGATTCGGCAATACCGAGGAGTAACAAGACGCTCAGCGACAGCGGGAACAAAGCTCGGTGGTGTTGAAGGTTGTCGAACTACTATCGAGTCGCCAGGCATGACGAGGTCGTTATCCGAGAGGTCATGTATCTTAAGCGCGAGAGGAAAGCACAACAGGTTAAATGAATGGCCATTAATAGGGAAACGAGATTTAAAAAATAACTCTCACTGAAATTGTTTGATGCAACCAAAACGCGTGGCATAACCATACGCAAAGGGCATAACAAATCCACATACAGTTTTGAAGGAATGTTGAGGTAATGGCACCCATGGATACTCAGGTGCCTGCTTTCATTTAAATCACTGCCAACAGTCTGACAGGGTCAGTGAACTTTTGCGAAGTATGGAAGAAAGCTGTGAACACAGGATGTAGCACGCACTTGATTACTCTCCGTATACGCCCAAGCATAAACCATAATCACGCTATGTTAATGACAGCAGGTCAATAGGTTGAACAAGAGCATAAAGTACTTGATCCGGCGTACCAGGTTCCGAATTCCGAACTTTTCACAAAACCTTGGCACAGCTCCAGTCCAGACGATACTTATTCAACGCTTGCTAGTAGTGAATGCAGTTGCACAGCTCGATGGCGTTACCAACTCCCGATGTCGAATGTGTAACTGTTCAAACCCTACGCTGTCCGGGAAGAAATGCACGTAGACCATCAAACACTCGTCACGCGTGCTCACAGGATTCAGCCCGATTCCACATCATTTATGACTTCTTTTCTTCTCCAAGGGCCCATCTCAACTTTCTGCACAAGAGGACGCGCCCCATAAGTTACAGCTTGTAAGGATACCAAATTGGACCCAACGAACATAGTAATCGATGTTCCAAACAGAGTTTGCTGCGCTGCCTCCCTTCGGGCTACTTGACCTCTGCATTAGGGTTTTTGCCATATACTGAAGCAGCAGAAAGTAAAAGTGAACGCTTTTACTTCACGGGATAAAATTATGTTTATGCAGCATTCGAGATAACGTAGGGTATACCAAATTACTGACCGGCGCAGAGTACCGGGAAAGTGTCTGCCATCTCGAACGCTACCACCAGCATCAGCTGTTTGTTCGAATCCGAATGGACGACTTCATTGAACCTAATTTTCACGCGGCAGTTCACGCTCCGCTCTTATATGAATAACGCTTTACACTAGCCTTTAGTCCACAACATGTATCACTAACTGACCGCCAAAAAAAATAAAATCATGATGGTTAGGCCGTAGCACCCTTTCGGTGCCCAGCTGCAATGCCGCCCCGAAGAAGCACGAGGGCTGAGATAATACCAGGTCGCCCAATCCTAGACAGGAGCAGCAGAGCTGAAGATGTCGGGTTCGAACCACGAACCTCCTGGTTAGAAAGTCCGCACCTTAACCACTGAGCTATCTGCCGCTCCCTGACTGCCACTGTGTTGGATCGATTAGATCTGCACATTGCATGTGCGAAGCAGTCGAATGAGACCACCATCATCGAGAACATACCAGAGTTCAAAACAGCTGCCGAGTTCGGTAAGAGAATACTCCAGACACGTATTGCCATTTGATGTGCCTCACATTGTAGATGAAGTTAGGGTGAAAAAAGACCGGCTCCTGAAGCTGGTGTTCAACAACTGAAATGGGTACAGCCGAAAATCGATAGGCAGGTAGATACGAAATTGAAACGAAACGAACGTTCATCAAAACAAATATACTTTAATTTATACCACTCAAATTATTCCACAGAGGCGGCCCTTGAAGAGGGGAAGCCAGGAGAGGATGGCAGCAGAACTATTGGAGTTACGTCACAAAAATGGCTAACCAAGAACACTACAAAACATCACTCACAAAAGGGTTTGAACTCGGATGGGAATCGCAGGCCAGGTAGAACGTATTCGGGTACAGATCCGTGCCAATCATGACGCCCGCCATTTGTGCACATGTGACATGATAGCGAGCGGAACATGTGCGACACCAACAAGAGGCCATTCGTAGGAAACCACGAGAAGGTAAGAGACAAACGCAACAAATTTCGGCTGTCTCACCAGGAGTGCTTTTCGAAGCCGAACACGATTGCGTACGTCTGGAGGAAAGTGGACGTCGTCCGCGAAATCGAGCTCGAGGTCTTGTGGGGCTTACACGAAAAGAGCGCTTTGTTCCTTCAGAGTGCGATTTTTCGAAGTCGGTAGTGGAGTGGTGCATGCTGAAGTAAACAAACCGAAAACAATGGAGAACTGTATAGACAAGGTAATACGATACGTACAAAGCGCGCAAAACAGAATCGAATCGAAAGCGCTGATTGCGTGAACTGCAGCGACAAAGATTAGGGACATTACTGGACGGGTGGAATAAAACTTGGGCCCCAGGGCTCGATATCAAGTTCACGACGTAATGAAGGCCGATCGCTTGTTGATGCGCTGGAGCATCTGGCAAACTTCCAACAAAGCGACCTCATTCCGATCCATTTACATCCGTTTCCAAACAAAAGCTGGTTAGGATCAATTTGTATGCCGTAAAGCGTACAATAAACCCGGTGAGTGAAGACATATCCAAGTAAAAAAGAGTTCGTGCTGGCGCTAGCCAACCAAATTAGTATAAACTCAAATGACGAAGAAAGGAAGCAAAGAATGAAACATATAGGTGAATTAAAAATGTTGCGTTGCAAGTTGAAACAAAGGCATGCAATCGACTCACTTACTCTTCATCATGATCATAATACATATCCCGCGTCAATGGTTGTCTTCGCGGTCTGGACGTCAAACCACAAACATTAGCACGCACTGGAGCGGTCGACGACGAATAGGCTGGTAACGAGTTACGGGCGTCGGAAGTAGCTGGTGCCTGAGAAGCGCTGGGAAATTTTCCTGTAGAAGCGACGTCATCCACAGGCTTCTTCTCTGCAATCATCGAAGCACGTGAAACTGCCTGCGCGGAAACGGCGGCCAAACGTTCGACGATACTGACGAACCGACATTCTGGGTTCGCCAAAGAACAAACAATATGAGCCCAATACGGGCGCCCCGTGTGTTTATTGACAGGATTGGCAAGTCGCTTAATTGCACCGCCTCTCATGTAGCACAGAATACACGACTAAAAATGAGGAATTAGGGTGCAGATAAATAGAGCAAACGGACTCGAATGTCCCTGTGTTATAAGCAAACAAAAGAATGAACCTACTTGGGGAGAACATAAATGCATTGCAACGTGCACTGATACTGAATGAGGGCTAGGCATCCGACTCCTTGACTGTCTAATCAAAACTGAAATCCCTGTAATACTAAATTTGCCTAATGAATACACGTCTTGTACTTTATCAGGATTTCACCATACGGTTAACATGTACTTTTCCAGATATTTAGTTTGACGGGTACGAGCATTTTCCATTGATCGAAGGCAGTATTGGGTAAATGCGAGCGGATTCACCTGAAACTATGGATGCACAAGCTCGGATCTCTGAGATGCTGGTTGTGGAAGCGGTCTTACTTGTATTTGAATCCAGTGCAGTTTACGTTTACTAATTTCGCTCTTTTTAATTTACTTGTCCTAATCACGTCCATTCCAGTTCCAAGGTTATGTACGTGCGAACCCGCTGAGAGCAAGGTTCCAAAGTTGCATACACTTTTCGCCGTCAACCAGCTATACACAAAAGAAGGTGAGTTGAACGTCTACGTGTAGTTTGTGCGAATGGCAATCTTATCAAGTCAGACAGTGCCATTTAAGTCGAATGACCGAAAGACGAGTGACAACATATCCGGTTATGGAGTAACTTATTCACGGAGCCGATCATCCAGTCTTGGGACCCTTGGTACACTGTTCGACTACTGGCTGGACGGTCATGGGTACGAATCTTTCAAAGGAATCGCTATATACGTACAAGTAGTGGTCCATCCCAAGGATAAAACAGTTGCTCAGTACTTCTCCGCTTTCAAACAATTACTGAGTCAAATTGCAGGATGAACGAATTATTAAAAATTTAAGAGTTCCTTACTATCTTCAATAGCTATGCGATTCGATCTACTGTCAAAATCAGCTATTGAAATGTATTCCAGAAACATCTGGTGTATTCTTAAGTATGTCTGTCGTTTCAGAAGGGTCTGGTAAACAATCGGTAATTCTTATTTGGGCAACGTTTCGCTTTTGACACAAAAGCTTTATCACGCCAAGTGAGTGTTGGTACCGGTACCGAAACCCAACAGGGAATGGGTTGAGGCTGCTGTTATTCCATTTAGACCGAGATCGGAGATGATTCGAAGGATTCTAAACACGGCATTGTTGCCTCACTCCTGATGATGTTGCTCACAGGAGATGCCCTTTGAGCGGCACCCACTTCGACCGTACTGAATAATGCGCTTGTGGTCACGGACAACCGTTGGGCGATTGGAGTGTGCGATTTTTAGGGCCGATATATTCTAACCTGTCGTTCTTTGGGGGAAGGCAGCATTGATGCTTCCATATATATGGACATGCTGGTCACCTGGGGGGAAACATCAGACTACCTTCACACTCCTGTCGTGGAGGACAATACGACTATACCCCCCAGACAGCCTCGCAGCACGATTACTCGTAGTATGGCGTCTCGTTGCTCTTGGTCTGTTCTTTGGCCTTTTTGGCACTGTTGCACATTATAGATTCAGGTTCCAGTTAGTGTAGCCCGCGGCATCCTTGCAGTACTCAAACCCGAACACCACGGCTTTAGGTCGGGCCTAGACCCCCATACATGATGCGTTTCACGTAGAGCTCTAGTGATTTTGATTCTTCCGCAAACACTCAGTTACACACCTCTTCGTTGCAAACATGCTGCAGCCAGCCAAGCAGTAAAGGCATCGAGGATTGGACGCTTGAAACCACCTGATGTCTTCAGATCGAAGAAGCCCAGTTTGAAAACCACACTGCAAGAACAATCTTACAGTCCTCTTGTGCACATGGCACATCAGTTCAATGGGATTCATTTTTGAGGTCATAAACGACGCATATTCGGAAGCGTTGTTCGCGGCCTGATAACGCTTACAGTGAACGGCGGACCGCTGCCACTATACAGACACGGCTTGGGTACCTGCCTAGTTGGGTAAACACAGGTAGACACACGAGGAGCTAAAATCTTGAAAGAATACGTCACACTGAAGACAAAACCCGCATGGACACAGTGGGATACGTAAGAAATTCTCTCCAAAGTAGACTGAGTGAACTGAAGTGCGTCAGATGACAAGATAACGACTTCCGCGTAGCCCAAATTTACTAGTCATTTTCCAGGTGTAATTTCAATACCAGGAGTCTGGACCATTGCATGATTATATCGACGACAAAACTGAACGACAAAGGGGCAAGGGCATACAGTGCGTTGTTAAAACCTACACGGTCAGAAGTGACTGAACAAAGTCCGACCTAATGTCTAGAGAACTCGATAGCATCACTCTAAGACCACGTATATATAGAAGAAATGATTTGTCTATGGAGCCAAAGAAAATCGCAACTGTTGACCGATGACAGGCATGGCACCACCGTGGAAATGTGATCAAGGCATCCTTAGGAGGACGGAATCCTACTTGGTGCTCCTGGATTTACGTCTCATGAAGCCGGATTATTGTTAACGTCTTCTGAAGTGACCACTTTCAAGGTATTGCATAGTAGGGAATGTTGGCTCAACACGTGGCTGAAGAAGATTCCCGATCGACAGGCGAAAATTTGACTTCTATTGTTTATCTGAGAGATTCAATGAACATCGGACAAGATACCATTCCGAATCAGCGTGTATTTCAGAATTACGGCCATTTGAGCATTTGGAGTTATACTGATTAGCCCTGAGAATGCAGGAGACATCTGCCGGATTAAAAACCACTCACCGGCCTCGTATCAGCGGAACAAGCATCGCAAATCCAAGCTTTGTCACGTTTGGACTGTGAATGAGGTGGAGATTTTCGATCCATCTTCGCAGACGGTGAGTCGCCAGGCGAAACTCGATAGTCGTCACTAGCACCGTAACACCGTGCATGCACCGTCAGTGCGCAATTGGAGCACTGTAGAATTGGACAGTCACGTTCAGAGGGCAAAGGAAGCGGTATCTCTCCTGAATCAGACGAAAAGTAAGCCACTTCTGGTATGAAGGGCGAGCCGTTGGTCAACCGGACGGATTTCGGAAGGGGCGATGACAGCAGTTTTGCGAAGAACTAGAAAGTAGGATATAATCGGTCAGTTTACAGGATTACAGAAAAAAGGCGTAGGAGCATAGTCCAATGATTGAAATTCTGCTTAGGGGCAAAATAAACTTAGGAATGGTAGCAGACAAGACACTATCAACAAGGGTCCAGAGGATGAGGACTCCAACAACAGAAGCAAGCACGAAGAGAGAGAGAGAGAGAGAGAGACGAAGGTTGTCTACGTACTTGCGGTGACCAGAGTAACGAGCAGACAGCACAATAAGGGTGGTAACTTCCGATCAAAGAATTGAAGTAGCGTTCAACCTTCAAGTCAGCAGATTCGCCACACCAGAGCGCTGAAAGAGCCGGGTTTTGTGCAATATGGAAAGGCAGTCGACATTTCAAAAAACCTGAAAAGGGAGAACAAAATATATTGAAATGCAAGATAAGAAACAACATATACCGATATCCATGCATGACAGCAACAGAGCACATTCAGTATAACCTGTTAAGATGCTACACAAATTGACCGGAATTTCAGGAAGAGGATAGGGAGTAACCTTGACTTCGTCCACAATCATACCAAATCGATGATACTTATAGCTTGTGATTGTTAGACCGCACCACGGTCCACGATATTCAGCAGGGCAAATTACTTTCTCCAGCTGTCACTAACCGTTGAAATGTCTATCGACCGAAGACAATATGATACTCCTTCTCTAAGCGTAACCCTTCTGAGGATAGGGTATTTTGGCAACAGAGATTATGGCGGTGATAGTCCTATGAGAGGAGGTAACAATTCGGAACTCAGGGAAGCGGCATTTCATGATTTTCAAAATCCTTATCCGTTTCCCAAAAGAAAACATCACGAAAAAGTCACTGATCCAGATTTACTAAGCAACTGTCAGATCAAACGGTTGATACACTCAGACATCTCGTCAGAGGGCTTCATTTGCTTTAGCTGGTTTCTACTTGGCGGAAAAGCTAACCAAATGAAACAAGGTATACAATCCCTGTGGAATGGAAGATTTTCGCCCCTGTTTCCTCACGCAGAATTACTATACCTTCAACTCCATAGTCAGGTCACAACACACACCCACTTTGACGGGTTCATAAGTAGTCAACAGACACCACCAATACCCGATAGAAACCAATGACATAAATGTTCGTTACTACACGATCACAGGTTATGGTGAAACCAGCCGAGGGAGCCGTAAAAAGACTGGCGAAACCACGTACTATAGGACGGTCTGGGATAGTTGCACTGCACTCCTCGATCTGGGTGCGAAAATGGTGACGTTCTTCCTCCAGAAGAACAGTACTTCTATATTTACTAAAGCGAGGATGGAGCAATTAGGATGGAGTGACCCTAAAAGTCGTACATCTGATCTCACAGGTCTTTACCGTGATAGGCAAAGATATATTCATTGACGTTTAAACACATTTTGGAAACGTCTGGTACCACTCAAGAAGCATCTGTTGTGCGCAGAACTCAATAGTTCTTCCGGCTAAGCGAGCCCCCACAAGTGAACTGGTCGGGTTATCGATTTGTTCGTTTTGGATAAAGTCTCTAAAGGAAAAATGCTGCTTCGTGGCTAAGACCGTTGAGCGGAACGCTACGGACAAGATAAGGGAACATTCTCTAACTGCTTTGTGTCAGACTTTTGAGTTAACGGCTTAAGGTAGGGTATGTCAACTAGACCTATTTCGACCGAGACACGTAAAGTAACAGCTGAACACACGCTGTAGGAACAATAATTAATCCCTTTTGCCTACCGGTTCCAATAGTGTTTTTTACCCCGCCAGTAAGACATTGCTTCTAACCCCATACATCCAGCGTACACCGCTAGTCATCCACTAATGAAAGTGAAAACCAAATGTTCGCCAAGGACTGTGATCGACATAGACATGTCGGTTGTCAGGATTCTAGTATTCCTTGTTCATATCCTTTCTTTAAGGAATGATTTGTGTTGTTTCCAAAACAAGACCCTACTACGGTGATGCAGTCAAACAGATCCGGACTTCCACACGTTTTACACTCCGCATATCGGGTTATCCGAAAGCGGTACACCGCCATCGCGATCGTATAGCCGTTGCATTGTTGTTTGAGAGCTGAAAAGGGTCTGCTTAAGTGGATTCCTACTGTGCAATAAGGCTGACCGAGTGTATCAGTCGGAAGTTTATTCGTTACCTCGATACGCACGTACGTACGGTAGAGCAGTGACACTGTTAAACACATCTTGTAAGAAGAAATTTTCAGAGTCCGTCGGATAGCAAGATGCACAGACGTCCTAGTATGGATGGTAACTCGAGTGACAGGAATCGGTAGGCATCAAAGCAAAAACGCATCGAACACCTATACACTAATCGCTGTACGTCTGTCGCAAGAATCCAACTTAAGCGCTAATGTTAGAATCATGTTACTTGACACCCTTCCAACTGTGACTAATAGAGCGGACACATCGACCGTGGCAGAGATGACGATCTTATTTTCAAGAATATGACTACTTTTGCAGGGGTTTAGATAATTCTGTTGTCCATGCCAGCGCTAAGGCTCACTTCACTGGGATCTACAGGAAAGACTTTCACCAGGATGAAGACCGTTGCCTGCAACACTCAGCCATTTATCGACAACAAGCGTCCAGATAACTTTCAAATGCAAGGCAAAGTGGTCGATCGAATGAAGACCTGTTTCACGGCTGAAACGTTATGAATTCGGGGTTTAACTGTGCACACTACAGTATTCCGTATCCCATGTCCAGGAGGAGAAAGCGACCCTAATGGAGAAACAGTGCGATTCGTCGAAATTCCCGAAACGACGCCTGACTCAGAGTATCAAGACTGATTAGGATAAGTGGTGCCTAGAGGTCCCAGGAAATGGGAGATTGGAGGCGATTGGGAACGATCAAGTTGTAGTCCAACTGTTCCGTAAGGTCGGGCCAATAGAAATGGTGGTCAGTGGTGCTACCACTTGGAAAGAGGCATCCGAACTCAGTTGTAAGACCCATTGCTTTGACAGACGGAGAGAGAGAGAGAGAGAGACGAAGGTTGTCTACGTACTTGCGGTGACCAGAGTAACGAGCAGACAGCACAATAAGGGTGGTAACTTCCGATCAAAGAATTGAAGTAGCGTTCAACCTTCAAGTCAGCAGATTCGCCACACCAGAGCGCTGAAAGAGCCGGGTTTTGTGCAATATGGAAAGGCAGTCGACATTTCAAAAAACCTGAAAAGGGAGAACAAAATATATTGAAATGCAAGATAAGAAACAACATATACCGATATCCATGCATGACAGCAACAGAGCACATTCAGTATAACCTGTTAAGATGCTACACAAATTGACCGGAATTTCAGGAAGAGGATAGGGAGTAACCTTGACTTCGTCCACAATCATACCAAATCGATGATACTTATAGCTTGTGATTGTTAGACCGCACCACGGTCCACGATATTCAGCAGGGCAAATTACTTTCTCCAGCTGTCACTAACCGTTGAAATGTCTATCGACCGAAGACAATATGATACTCCTTCTCTAAGCGTAACCCTTCTGAGGATAGGGTATTTTGGCAACAGAGATTATGGCGGTGATAGTCCTATGAGAGGAGGTAACAATTCGGAACTCAGGGAAGCGGCATTTCATGATTTTCAAAATCCTTATCCGTTTCCCAAAAGAAAACATCACGAAAAAGTCACTGATCCAGATTTACTAAGCAACTGTCAGATCAAACGGTTGATACACTCAGACATCTCGTCAGAGGGCTTCATTTGCTTTAGCTGGTTTCTACTTGGCGGAAAAGCTAACCAAATGAAACAAGGTATACAATCCCTGTGGAATGGAAGATTTTCGCCCCTGTTTCCTCACGCAGAATTACTATACCTTCAACTCCATAGTCAGGTCACAACACACACCCACTTTGACGGGTTCATAAGTAGTCAACAGACACCACCAATACCCGATAGAAACCAATGACATAAATGTTCGTTACTACACGATCACAGGTTATGGTGAAACCAGCCGAGGGAGCCGTAAAAAGACTGGCGAAACCACATACTATAGGACGGTCTGGGATAGTTGCACTGCACTCCTCGATCTGGGTGCGAAAATGGTGACGTTCTTCCTCCAGAAGAACAGTACTTCTATATTTACTAAAGCGAGGATGGAGCAATTAGGATGGAGTGACCCTAAAAGTCGTACATCTGATCTCACAGGTCTTTACCGTGATAGGCAAAGATATATTCATTGACGTTTAAACACATTTTGGAAACGTCTGGTACCACTCAAGAAGCATCTGTTGTGCGCAGAACTCAATAGTTCTTCCGGCTAAGCGAGCCCCCACAAGTGAACTGGTCGGGTTATCGATTTGTTCGTTTTGGATAAAGTCTCTAAAGGAAAAATGCTGCTTCGTGGCTAAGACCGTTGAGCGGAACGCTACGGACAAGATAAGGGAACATTCTCTAACTGCTTTGTGTCAGACTTTTGAGTTAACGGCTTAAGGTAGGGTATGTCAACTAGACCTATTTCGACCGAGACACGTAAAGTAACAGCTGAACACACGCTGTAGGAACAATAATTAATCCCTTTTGCCTACCGGTTCCAATAGTGTTTTTTACCCCGCCAGTAAGACATTGCTTCTAACCCCATACATCCAGCGTACACCGCTAGTCATCCACTAATGGAAGTGAAAACTAAATGTTCGCCAAGGACTGTGATCGACATAGACATGTCCGTTGTCAGGATTCTAGTATTCCTTGTTCATATCCTTTCTTTAAGGAATGATTTGTGTTGTTTCCAAAACAAGACCCTACTACGGTGATGCAGTCAAACAGATCCGGACTTCCACACGTTTTACACTCCGCATATCGGGTTATCCGAAAGCGGTACACCGCCATCGCGATCGTATAGCCGTTGCATTGTTGTTTGAGAGCTGAAAAGGGTCTGCTTAAGTGGATTCCTACTGTGCAATAAGGCTGACCGAGTGTATCAGTCGGAAGTTTATTCGTTACCTCGATACGCACGTACGTACGGTAGAGCAGTGACACTGTTAAACACATCTTGTAAGAAGAAATTTTCAGAGTCCGTCGGATAGCAAGATGCACAGACGTCCTAGTATGGATGGTGACTCGAGTGACAGGAATCGGTAGGCATCAAAGCAAAAACGCATCGAACACCTATACACTAATCGCTGTACGTCTGTCGCAAGAACCCAACTTAAGCGCTAATGTTAGAATCATTTAACTTGACACCCTTCCAACTGTGACTAATAGAGCGGACACATCGACCGTGGCAGAGATGACGATCTTATTTTCAAGAATATACTACTTTTGGCAGGGGTTTAGATAATTCTGTTGTCCATGCCAGCGCTAAGGCTCACTTCACTGGGATCTACAGGAAAGACTTTCACCAGGATGAAGACCGTTGCCTGCAACACTCAGCCATTTATCGACAACAAGCGTCCAGATAACTTTCAAATGCAAGGCAAAGTGGTCGATCGAATGAAGACCTGTTTCACGGCTGAAACGTTATGAATTCGGGGTTTAACTGTGCACACTACAGTATTCCGTATCCCATGTCCAGGAGGAGAAAGCGACCCTAATGGAGAAACAGTGCGATTCGTCGAAATTCCCGAAACGACGCCTGACTCAGAGTATCAAGACTGATTAGGATAAGTGGTGCCTAGAGGTCCCAGGAAATGGGAGATTGGAGGCGATTGGGAACGATCAAGTTGTAGTCCAACTGTTCCGTAAGGTCGGGCCAATAGAAATGGTGGTCAGTGGTGCTACCACTTGGAAAGAGGCATCCGAACTCAGTTGTAAGACCCATTGCTTTGACAGACGGAGTCTTTCAAAGAACTGCTTAGCTGGACCCGGATGCTTAGCATCTTCACGTTGCGATAATTTCCCGAAAACCATTACACATAAATCGAACATCAACATTTGTTTTCTTCTCATACCTAGAAGCAGTGTCTGGATCAGTTGTCCGCACTGTTTGTTGACAGTAGCTGTCTCTCAAAGTGCTCCCAACATTTTCGTCACAGCTATCCTATTTTCAATTTTCAACAACTACGGAGTTCATTTTTCTGAGTTCATAACCGAAACTGGTGTTTATCAGGACTATCCATTATCGCCTTTCTATTTCAACTCCGAAGTGCTCCGATTACTTACTGGAAAAAAACAATGTCATTTCTACCAATCACGATGTGAAACTTCTCGGGAAGGACCCCATAGAGCTTGAGAGTACAGCCCATATCGCCCCACATGGACCAAGTGCTATATGAATAAAAGATATGAAACTAACAAATAATGTTACGAAGCCCATTGAAGGCACACAGTACTATCAGAAAACGAAAGCCACGCAAGTTTATCACCACATCAGAGCCAATAGGCATAGTTAACAAAGTTACTTATCTGGTCAAATGGCGATGCTGACGAAGTGAATGCCAAAACTGCTGAATTTTCCTTTACACTAAGGAACTCTGAGGTTGACAGGATATAAGACCGTCGGTACAAGGTGGGGATTACAACGCGGCAGTGCGTCCAGTGTCACTTGTCTGGCCACTGTGTGTTGAAGGCAGAGCAAGAGTTCTCGTCCTGTAAGTGAAGCCAGTCTACGCTTTTTCAGCATAGATTGGTTTCACTTACAGCACGAAATCTCCACAAAAATCCCAAATCTCCTCACACTACCAACCGAGTAAGAATGCTTGTTTGCTGACACCCAGGGTTTCACGCTACCGTACCATTGGCGCGCACGATTAGTAGAGAAGAAATGCAGCGATTGGGTTTCGGCAGCAGATCAACCGCTTGAGCGACCGATGAAGTGGTGCAAATTCACCAAATACACTACGCTACTTCTGTCAATCACCTCACAGTGTTGTGTGCTGAAGAAAGTGACCGCGAGGCCCTAGCTACACCGGTGTATATTATCAGCGACGTTGAGTTATCAGATACCCACTCTACATTGATAGGTGGAGGTATTCATCAATATGACGGTGTAACGCAAACTGTGGCGTTGATGGTCCTGTTCCACTTTTTTATAACTAACCCAATATTCTTTTTGTTTCCACTGGCTTCCTACATTCCCGGTTCCCATCACGCAATATTCGCTGCCATATGCTGCGAATTTGCGTACATGGATCATGGTAAACTGAACTGAGCACTCGTTATATCGTCATTTTTGCCTCCCGTCACGCGTGCACCTTTCTTGCTATGTCACCTGGTATTTGTGATCGTAACAGTGGTTGTGTCACAGCAAGAAAATTTGCGTCGTTTTTAAACTTCATCTACCAATGCTACAGAACAACCATAAGATTTCGGACTATGTTTAGAACTGAGCACCGACAAGGTCACTATGACTACGGTGGAAGATGAAGATCGTTCAGACAAATCGAACTGCAACAGTATGGTACGTGATCCATTAGGGTATTAAGAGCAACAAGATGGTACTGGCGCGGACGTGCGGTTGACCACCGCCGTAAGAGGTGGTCTCGAGATAAGATCGTATAATCCTGTACGGTGAGTGGCAAGTTAGTGAAGTTTTCCCTCAAAATGAACAGCATGTTTATATTTGTGGGGATAGCGATACTAACTTCCCCCACGGACGGGTTAGGAAAGGTTGGCACTGAAATTGGCTAACTTCGGTCACCCAACGGTTGATCGTGACCACCGGTGAACTATCCTGGTGGAAATTGAAGATCGTTCAGACAAATCGAACTGCAACAGTATGGTACGTGATCCATTAGGGTATTAAGAGCAACAAGATGGTACTGGCGCGGACGTGCGGTTGACCACCGCCGTAAGAGGTGGTCTCGAGATAAGATCGTATAATCCTGTACGGTGAGTGGCAAGTTAGTGAAGTTTTCCCTCAAAATGAACAGCATGTTTATATTTGTGGGGATAGCGATACTAACTTCCCCCACGGACGGGTTAGGAAAGGTTGGCACTGAAATTGGCTAACTTCGATCACCCAACGGTTGATCGTGACCACCGGTGAACTATCCAATATGGTGGAAATACGCTAAAACTTACCAACAGCCTGACACCGCTCAAAATGCATGTTGTATACAGCAGCATTAGGACTGAGACGTCCATCTCTTACTAAGCGCACCTCCGATTACGCCAGTTCACCGCAGTCAGAAGAGTTACACTATTGATTTATTGGCTCCGGATAGGGTCCCACAGAAACAGTACTGCCCATTGGTTTGAGGATGAAAGCTTTGAGTCAAAGGTATGAGTACAAACTTTCATTACCCTGCGAGTCAGACTTATGTGTCGAATGCTCGAAGTCAGGTATCTGAGATATTCCTCCTTCCTCGACCTCGACATGAGTAGTACTATTCAACTTTGCAGCTTTTCGTTTCCCCTCAAACACACACCCTCCTTAAACTCCAGCCATCAGAAGTAATAAATCAAGTGCGCTATGTATTGGATAATATAAACAACATCAAGTGGCCTTCTTCAATACAGTCTACGGAGGAGTACCACCAGTCACTGTAACATCAATACCAGCATACCTTGAGAAAGGGGAATTCAACGCAACATAACATTGTTTCAAGGCATGCGGCCCGGATATTCTCCTCCCCGCACTTTTCGAACGTAGTGACACACTGATGAACAGTTTGACAGCCCGAAGGCGTGAGATTTGGGGCGAAAACTGCAGGTCCGTGGAATGCAGCACTTCAACCATGATCCTCATTTTCACTAAGGGCGCAAGCCCAGTAGTGTAAGACAAGTGTGCTCTTCTCACTACTTAACTTCAACTTTTTGGATGTGCTGTTTGAAATTCCCTGACAGGCTCTGAAAACTCGAAGATCGAAGAGTTCCTGGGATATTAGCCCATACAAATTAAGTACGCGGACGACAGTGCCCTCCTTGGTCCATATCCTTCGAGGAAAAGTGATGTTAAGTGACCTCGCACGACTTGGTAACGCTTCACACCTGCGAAGTGTAAAGAGCTGCTACAAAACTCGTGCTACAACCATGTTTGCAGGCCATCCAACTGATGTGAAGTCAGTTGATTGACCTGGTTAGTTGTATGAGTCCAGTTGGAGTGGCTGGAGGTGAGGTCACTTCTCGAATCAGGAAGGTTGGGGCAGCTTTTGCAAAGTTTCGACACCTATGGGGCCGGAGTGACGTCATTTTGTCTGTCCATGGCAGTGGTACGATCCAAACCGCTTTGTGGATGAGAAACGCGAAGAAGATGTACAAAACTGTGCGCTTTGTCACCGATGTCCCCTAACCATTTGGTCCGTTGGGAACACCGGAATAGAGATGCTGAGGCACGTCACATGGGCTTACTAAGTAGATCTCCCCCCATAGATGACACACACGCTTCATGTGCTATGCTGGTTTGGGAATGTATGTCCTACACCAAAGGACCAGCTCCCTTACACACCACTTTTCAATAAACTTAGTCGATTGGACAACTAGTGTCTCCCTGGCATGGGTATTCCGAACTCAAATCATCAATAGTTAATGCCAGTGACACATGCGGCTCAATCACTTAGTCAATGGCATTCGTGTATCAAAGCTATCGTCTTCAGTAAGTTCCCGCTTCTTCATATAACTAGACCGACTCAATATGAACTAACGGACTATTGCATCGCTTCCGATGCTGGGCCACACGTCCCGCTCTCTCCGATTCACGCGTGGTCGAAACTATAACAAATGGAAACAACGTGCCCTTGATATACGGTTTAAAGTTGATTAAATGAACTGATGAATGGTTTGTTTTGAGGACACTGGCAATTTTGAACATAGCAGATGCAACCAGCAGGTCAAAGGCAAATTGGAAGATGAATTGTTGTGGTGATGGAGACAATAACGGGAAACCAAATCGCCATACTTTTATGTTCGCATAACTCCAGTAAATTCCTGCTGGGTTTCGGGGACATAATACTGGGCTCAAACGAAGAACTTGTGGAAGAGCTACCAAGGCAAATATTGTTCAGATTCGGTACTCACTAGGTAAAAAACCGAAATAAAGTGCAAGGGACAAATGCCTCCAGGTCGCTAATGCTCAGACACCAGCGACAGTAAAGTAGCGCGTCTAGACCTCTGCAATAAATTGCGAAGCACGGCAAGTATCATCTTATAAGACGCTGTCAACACATTCGTTATCCTACTACAAAAAAGAAAAATAACTAACCTCGTCTTGAATATCTCAAGTCGATAAGCATCAGCTCACCCACAGCAAATTTTCTTTGTCGCCTGAATGTGGTCTTGGGATTATTCGCACAAATGCTGTCCACCTCAGATGGAACAACTTGATTATTCTCTAGAAAATGAGTAGGTTTGATACAGGCCTCTAAATCCAACCTGATTTGGGCGTTTTCGTCTGCGCAGACAGCTTCGGTTTGGAAAAATCGTACTCGTCCAAGGGATGTGGCACTGAATCTGGATCCTTTAACCACGAAGCATACTGTTCGGGCTGATAGTGTCGAATAAATGGATCCATACTGATGCGTACGGTGTCGTCCCAGCATGTACAGAGCGTCGCCTTCTTTCCAAACTCAAGCCACCTTGGTAAGGCAAAGTTTACGGCTTCGGCAACATTCAATCCCAAATTGAACCCAGCGTGATAGGCGTAGGGGAATGTGATCATGAATTCTCCGCTTTTTTGAACCATCTAGTTGAAATCGATTGCAAATAAGTAAGTATCGCACTTTTCTTGTCGGTATCCCAGCTTCAGCTAAGACTGATGGGCTAATAAGCACACATTTATGACGGAGGAATGAGGGACAATTGAGGAAATCAGAACGAAAGTACTCTGAAAATTCAACAAGATTAGTTCAAGCACTTACCAAATACGAATGCCTCGAATTTACGCGCGTAAGGAGGAGGGATCACGTACCAAAACTTGGGGTGACCGATATGTACATAATTGACCGAATACAGGTCGACATCTTCAACATGCCAAGGAAATGTTGACCTCCACATTCCGTAGTACAAATAGGGAGTATTTACTCCGGGGATGACTACGTTTTGAGAGTTCAGTACGTGACTTAACATGGAATCGAGCGCAGCCAGATTCCACACGCTTTGACCTCTCATTAGAGTCCCACTGACATTGGCGCCGTACAGAGGACGTCCGATACCTACGGAAGACCAATACTTTTTTTCCAAATGACTCCAGTCCCTGTGGCTTGGCGTACAGTGCGCACTTGAATTTGCCAGTTCACTGAACTCTTTAAATGTTAAGTTACGGGTTGCTGTGATATTCTGTAAGGTGAGTAGAGATGGACAGTTGCGAATACTTGAAAGTAAACACCCCGACCACCGAACGTGGTCTGTGAAACAGGCTTTTCGACAACCATTGAGTCAATATCCGTATAACCCCCGACACGGGCAGACCAGCCAGGAGGAGGAATGACTTTGCAGAGACCTATGTGATGGGCACCAAGTTCCTCAATTTTTGAGACACAATCCGTGAAGTTTTGGAATTCTTCAACAGTAGGTTCATACACGGGGATTTCAGGCAACGTGGAAGGATTCATACACTAAAAGAACGTCAGTCTTCATCGATTTTTACCATCGTCTTTTCGATCCTAGCTGTTTTTGCCAGTCCATACTGTGGTTCGGTCATTGATCCAGAATGTACTGATCTGCGAATTAAAGCAATGCAGTATAAACAACTGGCATATTGATAGACTAGTCAAAGACTAAAGACCTCGTAAACTAAGTTACTAGAGGAAAAATACGCAAATATGCAAACGCAAAACATAACACAGGTGTTCCGGAGTTGTAGAATCCAGGAGCGGTGTTGACACACTGGCCTAGAATATCAGAATTCTAGAGTTCAAAATCTTACAAGGCCAAGAATAATGAGCTTTAAAAAGGCTGAAACTAGACTCCAATGCTTACCCGTTTAGTGGGAAATCACCTGAATAAGCAGGTCAGAGCAGGAGGATGACTGTACACATCGTGCTGTGAAAGTGGGCTCCAGCGCCCAACTTAACTACCATCCGACCTCATACAGACACGAAGTAAGAAAAGAAAACGGCAGGGAAACATGTACATGAGACGCTGGGTGGCGGATATTTGAGTGTTGACATGCAAAACAAACTCCCTTGACGGTGGCACTATCAATAACATCAGCAGTTGCTACTACTGGAAATTGGTTTGTTCACTGAAGTGGGCAGTTTGGTTGCAAACGCTTCATTACCAGTTGAGGTGACGTCAGCAGTGCGTTGTGAGTAGAAGGGCGTAATTGTTGTGTGTATATGGAAAAGCCACCGATTGGGATTTTATGCTGCCCGTGAAACCTCGCGTCTTGAGATGGAGGCTGATCGTCAAATGCCATGAGATGGCGCACACAGGGTGCAACAAGACATACGACTTAATTAGACAGATGGTCTACTGACCAAAAATTATAAGTGAGTTGATGGATTATGTGGTGTCCTGTAAGCGGTGCCAACCGATGGAAGGGGATACGACAAGGGCAACTTACCCTATGGAACTTATTCCTGTATCAGCGACCGGTGAGTTGTGGCCCGTTGGCGTCATTGGGTTCGTTTCCGCTGACAGCCAGTGAAAGTCAATGCGTCTTAATGATGATAGAGCACCTGTCGAGGTTGACCAAGGCGGCAGTCATGCCAAATCAACGAGTGGCGACGATCAGTGGATCGGCGATTCCCCACATCGTAGCCAACCATGAACTACCAAAAATGATCCCAAAGGAGCGCTGAGAGAGTGAAGAGTTTAGGAGTTCCTTGCAGAAGCTGAGCATCAAGCGGCTAAGGACGGCACCCTACTACTCACAAACGGCCTAACTGAACGAAATAATCATACGATTAACGAGTGGCTGGCGGCCAATGGTGACTGGGAAGTGAACTTGCCGACGACGTTGTAAGCACATCGTGCGTCAATCCAGCCAACCACAGGCAAATCCCCATTCATGTCAGTGTTTAGTCGACATCAACGCCTTCCAACTGACCAGGAAATTGAGCTGTGGCGGACGACACACTTGTCTCCAGAGAAGCTATGAGAGAAAAGGAGAAGCCAAGAAAATTTGTCCGCCGTTTGGGAGAGGACCACAGAAAACGTCGGGCAGGAAGGCACGACCATCCCCCGTAGGCGCGAAGATCAAATGGAAGGGTGATCAGAATCCTGGGAGAAGCAGACTTAGGTCACGGACGTTGGATAGCCGGTGGTAAGGCCCGTTTGTCGCTACCGACCGTCGAAGGAACGTTTGTATAATTCAGGACAGTCGATAATCCAAAAGAGTAAACCGTGGCATGATACATCCGAACAGGTGCCGACTAGTCCAACTGCTGAGGCCGACATAACATCGACGGCATGCACGTGGCCAAACCAGCGCAACCTATGCAGTGTGATCAGTTCATTTATCGAGGGTGAGTTATTTCTCCCGAATATCATTCGACATACGTCAGAATTGCTGATCCGGTGTTCCGCCAGGTCCGGGCAATGCTCCGAAGACATCGATGGTCAAACACTGAGTCTTTCGACGTCCTCGGCGAGCAGCGGTCAGGTTTCTGATCCGTATAGTAGTATGGAGCGCACCACAGTATTGTAAACTCGACCCTTGGCGGATAAGTTGATGCCACACCTACGCTACAGGTGATACAGGTCCACAAAAGCTGCTCTGGCCTTTCCAATCCGGATGGAAATATCACCGGGACAGACCAAGCGGCCCAGGTAGACAAACTTGTCTGCTACTTCAATCGGTTCATCCGCAAGTATGAGGCTAGGGTTCGAGCCCACCCAGTCTTGGAGTAGCACTTTGCACTTTGCAGGTGTAAAGCGCGTGATTAGAGCGCGAATTTACTGACCGGAAGGTCCTGGTTCGAACCCGACCTCTGCCTGTCGACTTTCCTTGTCTAGGCTTGGGGAACCTGGCAGTATCCCAGCCCTCGTGCAACCTTTGGGTGGTATGGCAGCTGGCGCCGAAAGGGTGCTACAGCTGAACGACTACAGGTGTGAAGCGCAGGACGGATATTTCGTACTATATTTTTTCTTACGACGGGCTATCCAGGTTTACATTCCATTCGCCTGTATGCATTATCTCCGCAGGCTGGGTTGCAGGAGGCCAGCTGAACTGTTCTTCGAAGTGTTCGGCCTATCTTTCCAGTCGACGGTTTCGCGAGTGAATTAGTGAGCTTTTTCACATATCGTCTCACTGACCTTTGCTTTCCCAGGGCCATTCGATCGAATCAGTTGATATGCGGGACGGCTGTTTCCGGTAGCAAAAGCTCCCGAGCTTTCGATGTCCAGCAGATCTCTTTCTTTCTTAGGCTCTTCACTATTATGCGTTTGAGGGATTTGCGTGCACTGTCGTACTCGTTACCTGCTGGTGTGGCTTTCCTGGTATCAATCATGGATAGCGATCTCGACGACATTTAGTAGTCTTGTGGTCGAATCGGAGAGACAGCACTGAAGGCCAATAACATAGCTCCTTCCACATTTTACCACGCTTTATCCACATGTTCATTGCCACCAAAGTATTGGTTTACTGTGGGTTAGCTCAGATCGGTACTGTTGAGCTACGGTAGCTCTTCGAAGACAATGGATGGGCATGCATCTTACTAAATTGCGAGGGCCTGAAGACAAACGAAATGTCAGGCATGCACGCAACATGGCGTAATCGGAATCAAGTGGTGTGTCCGAGAAGGAAGGAGTCTTGAATTCTGGCTCTCCATCGGTGATCGGAATCAAGTGGTGTGCCCGAGAAGGAAGGAATCTTGAATTTTGGCTCTCCATCGGTGGTTGATGGCCACGTGGTCCAACTGCGTCACCGGTTGATTTGCAGTTGATGGCTGCGCGATGCGAACGTTTATGTTGAAAGTTCGTACTTGCCAGAAACAGTTTGTGATCAGCACACAACTGAAGGAGGCGATCCCCGTTGTCTGTTCGGCGAGCATCGACTCCGAAACGACCACCCAAATGTGATTCCAAGGAGCTCAGACGACCTACTTGAGCATTCAAACCGCCTGTAAGGATTACAATGTCAGTGCTTTTTGCATGACGAATGAGCCCGGATAATTCTCGATAGAAAGTATCCTCAGAATCAGCACTGCAGTCCGTTGGACGTAAGCCGACACTACAAACAGGCACCGCTCTTTATGCCAAGAGGCACTGGGCTTGATTGAACTGGATAACCAGACGGCGCAAAGACGACTGTTTACTGGGATCCATTCCAGCAAAGCGTGCTCAGCGCTGGGGCTGAGTGTAACTCTCACACCATATATTCCACGAGTCATCGCTTCTGGGTCACCAGACACACGGAGGGATAAATGTGAAAGAACTGAGTTCATCCTTGGCGTTCTCAGATGCATAACCACGCTTGAGTAGGCTGACACCGAATTTCTGAGGTATGGTTGTTAGACCGTTCACCAGGACCTCGTCCCCTTCTTTGAAGAGTGTAGGATGCGGACTATCCTGCACAGGTGCCTTATTACTTTGGAGGATCGGTATCTCACGCTTGATTTCTGTTGTTGATGGCGGTTGGTTTCGATGTTCCATTCAGGTCCGCCGGGTTTTTTCAGCGGTTGTGTTGAAGAATATGAGCTGAACTAATTTTCTCAGACCATCTCTCAAGACGATGGTTGAAAGAATGAACTATCGTTTCGTCTTTTTTGCTGACACCTAGCTTCGGTTGACCGGTTGATTGAACCAGATGAAAAAGGGCTGGCTGCTTCAGCGAGAGCTAGCATAAGGCCCTTCGGTCAGATAACTGGGAGTCAAATAGCCCAGCGACATTTGCTTGTGCATTAGGAAGTGGTTGTGGAGGGAATTTTTTGCTGACACCTAGCTTCGGTTGACCGGTTGATTGAACCAGATGAAAAAGGGCTGGCTGCTTCAGCGAGAGCTTTCTCCATATCCTGGGCCTTCGAAATCCACCAGCGTTCTCTGTCATTCTTCAAGCTCCTGATTATTCGGTCTTTGAGAGGTCTCCGAGCGTCACAATAGTTACTAGTTGCTGGTATGGCCTTCCTGACAGCAATAAGACCTGTTAATCTCGAGGATGTCCATCGTTCACCTAGTTGAGTCGGATGGCTTGGAAAAAACAGTTATGAGAGCTGGGAGCGTGTTTTTTTTAACTCGCTTCTATTCAAACACCAGACAATGTTGTCATTCACATAACTGTGCGTTTCCAGTAGCTTTCTAGTCAGATCCATTCTATACTCTTGAGGTAATGTAACTGTTCCGCTTTGATACACTTAACGCCGATGGAAAGCGAAGTGATAACCGGGCCCACACAATGGAATGGTCAGGGTCAAGTTGCTTACCCAACAAGGAACGACAATCTTCAACTGAGGCTCTCCATCGGTAACTGACGGCAACATGGTCCGATCGATTCCATGAATCTCTTGCGGTTTGTTGTCTCCAAATAACTTGATGTCAGCGTTTGTGTAGGAAGCTTGTGCCGGTCAGGAACAGGTGATGATCCCCATATAACCGAAGCTCCCAATCATCCGTACACTCAGCATCGACTCGTAATCCACCATCCAACTGTATCTTCCGGACTTAGTCATCCAGCCTGGCAATTCATATTACCCATCAGGATTACTATATCCATCTTTCTTGCTGACCGAATCAGTCCTGACAAACCTCGATTTAAACCCGTCCCTCTTAATTTCAGGACTGCAGTCTGTCGGGGCGTGCGTTGATACGACTAATAAACACCGTTTACCACATCAACCTACTTTGATCTTAATTTAGTCGCCCCACAGTGTAAAAGAGACCGTTTACAGGGACCTGACCTTACAACTGAGTGCAAATCCCACTCCACAGAAAACACGAGACATTGCGTCAGGAATATGGGACACCCGAAGGGTGAGATGTGAAGCATCTGAGCTCGCCCTAAGCGGTTTGAGGTGGATGACCGAAGTGAGGTTTTGCATGCGTGTTTCGGAGATACAACGTACATCGACAAGGATCGTGAACAAGGCTTCAGAAAGAGACGATTGTTGTCCAGTTTGACATAGAGTAGGATGTTGGGGGTTGCAGAGGCGGTTAGTGAGCGATTATTTTTAGTTTATTTTTCTGGGCGATCGTTTAGACGGGAATTGGCACACTGGCTCATCACACTGCATCGTTCGATGGGTGGGGAGGGGTGAAGCGGAAGGCTGGTA